TTGAAGAATATATTAAAATTGGATTATAATGTTATAAAACACATTCTAATAGAATTATAATTATATAAAACACTTATAATCGCATTAAAATGTTATAGAAGACATTATAATTGGATTATAATCTCATGGAACACATTATAATAAGATTATAATGTTAAATAATTTATTATAATAGAATTATAATATAACAAATTGCATTATAATAGGATTATAATGTTATAGATTGCATTATAGTCGAGTTATAATACCATAAACACTTTGAAATAAAATAATTAAATTAAAATATTACTTTGAACTCACATGATCGATTAACTTCCTCATTATACCATCCCATTGTTTGGTTTGTGGATTAAATTTGCCATTACTATCCACCAAAGTGAATTCATATTCAAATTCCATAATTTCCGATAATTTTCTTATCAAATCCACCGCGTAACCTTCGTACCTCTCAGAACCTCGAAAATTTTCATAATCTTGTCTGTAAAATAAATAAATAGTAGTATTAATTTCCATAACCCAGACACGCTCTTCTCCTTCTCACCCACTTCAGCATGAAGTATGGTTCTTCGAAATGTGACACCACGGTATAGGTCTTTTTTTCCTGGGAAAAATCCTGTGTAGATGACGATGAGGAGCTTTGCAATTCTTGACGTCTTGTTATGGGTGAAATAGAACGATCCGAGGATTTCCACAGGGCTATAGGTTCATTAACAGTGGGTTTATAGATTTCCAAATTGAATTCAGATCTCTGGCCATATTCATCGATTTTCATGCTCTCGGTTTTGAAGGGAGGTTCCACATCATCTTCGGAAATCTTTAAAACAGAAAATTTGACTTATACTTCTATTGAGACTTGACTGCAAACTTCCACATACCTCCTTCATTTCCTGCACTATCAAACTGCCTATGTACCAACGATCTGAGCGACCAAAACCACAACGTTTATAGGGTTCATGATATTCTTTTAGATTAGATATAATATTACGGGCCGCATTGGCATATAAGATGACAGCATCATATATTAATAAGGGCATCATAGTTTGATTTGCTAAAATTTGCTAAAGAAACCAAAATTTTGAACTAATTTTTCAAAATCTTTAAAATTAAACTTACATCTACCAAGGTAATACGTGTCTTGCGTCTTTCATAGGGATTAGGATCAACCACCTTTAATCTAACCGAAGTAATATTCGATTTAAAATCAGCATTATAGACATCTTGCAAACCGGAACTGTGGGAGTCCATATGTGTCAAAAACCAGTTCTATAAGAAGAACACTCATTTAATCTTCTAGGTGTAATAACTAACCAAAAAACTTACCCTAAATGGACCCAATAGCTTAAAATCTTTGGCTGCATTCATTAGCCTAACCAAAGATTCCGGTTCACAATCCATTATCAATCTATTCTCATGAAATATTTCCTCGGCTTCTTTCCATAAAACTCTTATATCATGTTCATACTCAGCTATGTTTTTCAGCTTAATAGTATCCTTATTTACCGACTGTATATCCATCAGATCCTGCAAACGTGCTAGACCTAAAATTAACATTTAAATGGTTTCCAAAAATCTCAGACAACTTGTTTCTCCTTACCCTTTTGTGTCTCATAAAATATGGTAAATTTTTTCCAACCAAAACTTGTCTTAATTATATCCAAATAGGCCTGTGACAAGACAGCTTGTGATGGTGCCACATTCACGGTCATACGATGATTTAGTTTACGCTGTTCTATGGCTGTTTCTATATTCCAATCGTATTGCATGTGTGGTACACCCGTTGTATTCGCTATTAAGGCTACTATATCTATTGTAGATATGCATTTTAAATGACAAACATATTAAATTTTTATGACATTTTGCGTTTATTTTTCAAATGCATTAAGCAATTAAGTTAACATACCAGAAGATGCTTTTGAACTTGGTCCAAATATGGCAGCAACGCCATTGGCAATTAATTCGCAAGCTATTAAATTAAGAAAAATTTTATTAGAGGACATAATTTAAAATAAGATATGTTATAATGAGAATTTAATCACAGATATACATTATAATTAGATTATAATGTGATTAAATACATTATAGTAGCATTATAATGTTAAAGAACACATTATAATAAGATTATAATGGTATAAAATACATTATAATAGTACTATATTGTCAAAGAATATATTATAATCGTATAATAATGTTATAAAATACATTATAAAGGATTATAACGTTATAGAATGCTTTATAATAGTGATATAATGTTACAAACGAATTATGATGATGTAGAATACATTATTATAATATTATATTCTATTCTATAAAATTATAATTTGATTATTATATTAAAGAACACATTATAATGGTATTATAATGCTAAATAATATATTATAATCTTAATATAAAGTATTATATAACATTATAATTTGATAATAAAATTATAGAGAGCATTATAATGGTATTAAAATATGACAGTATTTATTATAATAGGATTACAATGTTAAAGAATGCATTATAATCGAATTATGTTGTTGAAGAATACATAACAATCATATTATAATGTATTCTATAAAATTATAATTTGATTATTGTATTAAATAACGCATTATAATCGTATTATAATGCTAAAGAATATATTATAATCCCAATATAAAGTATTCTATAACATTATAATTTGATTATAAAATCATAGAGAGCATTATAATCGGATTATAATGTTATATGTTATTATAATCATGTTATATGTTATTATAATCATGTTGTAATGTATTCTATAAAACTATAATTTGATTATTATATTAAAGAACGCATTATAATTGTATTATAATGTTAAATAATATATAATAATCTTAATATAAAGTATTATTTAACATTATAATTTGATTATAAAATCATAGAGAGCTTTATAATCGGATTATAATATAACAGTGTATATTATAATCGGATTATAATGTTATAGCATGCATGATAATAGTGACGTAATTTTACAGATTGCATTATAATCATATTATAATGTATTCTATAAATTTTAATTTGATTATAGTAATAAATAACGCATTATAATCGGATTATAATGATGAGGAATACATTATAATCGTATTAAAATGCTAAATAATATATTATAATACTAATATTTAGTATTCTACACCATTATAATTTGATTATAATATCATAGAAAGTATTATAATCAGATTATAATGTTATGGAATATATAATAATAGTATTATAATATTACAGAATGCATTATAATGGAATTATAATCTTATGGAATGCATAATATTTGGATTATTATTTTATGAAACACTTTATAATCGTATTATAATTCCATATAATACATTATAATCGAATTATAATGTTATGTAATACTTTATAACCGGATTATAATGTTATAAAACGTATTATAATAGGATTATAATGTTATAAGACATATTATAATATTATTATAATGCTAAAATATACATTATAATACAATTATAATGTTAAAGAATTAATTATATTCATACTATAATGCTTCACAATACATTATAATCGTATTATAATACTATAAAATTAATTTACTTACTCAATTGCTGCAGTATAAAACTATCATCATATGGCACATAACGCTTTATTGTCACAAATTTCAACTCAAACAATTTGATGCTGTTTAATTCACGAAAAGCTTCATCAAAACTTAATTCAGTGGCATCTTCATCTTTAAAAAATAAAGCACCTACAAAGTTTATTTAAAAAAAAATAATTTAAAATTTATTTATTTAATTTTTTTTACACAACAAAACTGCATTATATTGTTTTTATTTTTTTTTTTTTAATTTTAAGGTCACTTTTCACTTGAACCTGAATAAATAAAACATTTGCTCAATGTTGTTCTCTTTACTCATTAGCTCTCCCATCAAGTAGAGACATTTTAACAATTCACAATTTTGGTATATTTTTTTATTTATTATTTTTTTTTTTTTAATTTTTTAATTAAACTTATATATTTTTTATTTTATTTACAAGATATTTTTTATTATAAAATTTTCGAAAATGGTATTTTAATTATAACTTTTTCTTACCCACTTTTACTTCCGTTTTTGACTCATCAATAAATTCCTGCGATAATTTTATCTGCAGCATTAACAGCAGCCCATAAAATCCCAATATTTTCTTATACATTTTTCACAGTTTTTAATAATTTTTACACATTTTTTTTCAAATATTTTTTTAAAATAAATTTCTGTAATTTTTTTTTTTTAAATTTCTATATGTATTACGTAAATTATTCAGTTTTTATTTTTGATTATTTTCACAATATTCAAAAATATTTCTCCATTGCTCTCCTACAAATTCTATTTCCTACGTTTTTGAAAATCTTTTTTTAAGAAAAACCGTCCAGACTTGTCGCCTTTGTTCGAACAACTGATTCAAAAGAAAAATCATTTTCCGCATATTTTTTTCCATTTAGATATGTCTTGAGTTTTATTTTCAATATATATATCGTTTTTTTTTTTTTTTAATTTTAAGTGTTTTAGGGGGTGGGCGACATGATGTGGTGGAGAAGTAGAAAAAAAAAATAAACATATTTTAAAATTAAAAAACAAATATATATAAAATATTTTTATTAGATTTTGTGTACATTTGTTAAATTATATTTTGGATGAGTGTTTCATTTATGGAAAACCCGGCATAACTTGGCCCATTAGTATGTGAAATGAAAAGTGTGGCGCTTTACAGACACAGGCGCACATACTAGTGCATTAAATCTGTGAGAATATTTAAATTTTCTAAAAGTTTTTGATGTTAATTTGTTTAGATTTTTTCTCAATAACCGAAATTATCATAATTTGTTTGTTTTTCTTATTTTGGGGGGCCATGGAGTGGGGTAAGCAAAAAACATGTGTTTTTAAAACCATTAAAAAATAAATAATATTTCTTTCAGAGAAAAAAATTTGTATATATATTTCTAATATTTTGAAAATATTGAAAACCCTTAAAAATTACAAAATATTCTACCATCTTTAGCTAATAATTTCTATCAGCTCTAATATCAAAAATATTTTCAATTCAATAAAATTTTCTTTAGTTTTCATACAAATATTTTTTCTCTAATACCTCCCTACCATGGGCAATCTAGCCCATGATATGTTTCTCTTGGACTGTCCCACCTATGAAGATTATTTGGATACGTTTATTACACGTAACGATATACGTTTTATACGTAATATACGTTTTTCTCGCATGCTGGTCGAACTGGGCTATAGATCTGCTACGGAAATCTATACTCCCAGTCAGTTTGAACAACGCAAAGCTGCCGTATTAGAATCACTATGGCCCATGAAGAAATCTACCATATTTTTTAGTGATAAATTAAAATCAGATGATCCGGTATTGTGGGAATTGTCTATGAGGGAAAAGCCTAATATACAAAAGAATATATCGGTAAGAAGAAAATTAATTCATTGGACCATAATACTATGGAATACATTGTCTTCACAATACTTAATAACAATGTTATAAAATGTTATAAATAGATGGATTATAAAGTCACACAAAACATTATAATGTTATAAAACACATTATATTCACATTATAATCATGTTATAATGTTGAAGATTATATTATAATTGAATTATAATATTATAAAATACATTATAATCGAATTATTATATAATAGAGTACATAATAATGGAATTATAACGGCATTAAAATGTTATAAATTACATTATAATCGAATTATAATGTTATAGAATGCATTATAATCTAATTATAATCTTGCACAATACATTATATTTGGATTATAATGTTATGGGATTCATTATAATTGATTTAAAATGTTATAGAATACATTAGAATCAAATTAAAATGTTATTGATGAATTATATTTTCATTGTAATGCTATAAAGTAGATTATAACAGAATTATTATATTATGGAAAACATTATAATAGAATTATAATGCTATAGAATACATTATAATCGAATTATAATGTTATCGAGTACATTAAAATGTTATACAATACATTATAATCGAATTATAATATTATGAAATACATTATAATTGTATTGTAATATCGTGAAATACATTATAATCGAATTATAATGTTGTGCAATCCGTTATAATCGAATTATAATATTATGAAGTACATTATAATTGTAATATAATATAACGAAATATATTATAAACGAATTATAATGTTATAGAACATATTATAATCGTATTATAACGAAGTACAATCCATTATAATCGAATCATAATGTAATACCATACATTATATTTGGATTATAATGTAACAGAATTCATTATAATTGATTTAAAATGTTATAGAATACATTATAATTGAATTATAATATTATGGAATGCATAATAATTGAATTATAATGTTATGAAATTCATTATAATCGTATTATAATATTATAGGATGTATTATAATTAAATTATAATACAATGGAATACATAATAATTGCATTATAATGAAATTATGAAACACATAATATTATTATATATACATATACATATGTATATATAATAATATTATATATGTTATAAATTTATTATAATCCAATTATAATGTTATAGAGTACATTATAATCGGATTATAATGTTATAGAATATATAACAGTCGAATTATAATGTTATGGAGTACATTATAATCGAATTATAATGTTATATAATACATTATAATCTAATTATAATGTTATTGATGCATTATATCTTCATTGTAATGCTATAGAATAGATTATAACCGAATTATTATATTATGGAAAAATTATAATAGAATTATAATGCTATTGAATACATTATAATCGAATATATCGAGTTAAAATGTTATACAATACTTTATAATCGAATTATAATATTATGAAATACATTATAATTGTATTGTAATATCGTGAAATACATTATAATCGAATTATAATGTTGTACAATCCGTTATAATCGAATTATAATATTATGAAGTACATTATAATTGTATTATAATATAACGAAATATATTATAAACGAATTATAATGTTATAGAACATATTATAATCGTATTATAATGTTACAGAATTCATTATAATTGATTTCAAATGTTATGGAATACATTATAATTGAATTATAATATTATAGAATACATTATAATTGAATTATAATGTTATGAAATTCATTATAATCGAATTATAATATTATAGGATATATTATAATTAAATTATAATACAATGGAATACATAAAAATTGCATTATAATGAAATTATGAAACACATAATATTATTATATATACATATATGTATATATAATAATATTATATATGTTATAAATTTATTATAATCCAATTATAATGTTATAGAGTACATTATAATCGGATTATAATGTTATAGAATATATAACAGTCGAATTATAATGTTATGGAGTACATTATAATCAAATTATAATGCTATATAATACATTATAATCTAAGTATAATGTTATTGATGCATTATATCTTCATTGTAATGCTATAGAATAGATTACAACCGAATTATTATATTATGGAAAACATTATAATAGAATTATAATGCTATTGAATACATTATAATCGAATTATAATGTTATCGAGTACATTAAAATGTTATACAATACATTATAATCGAATTATAATGTTATGAAATACATTATAATTGTATTGTAATATCGTGAAATACATTATAATCGAATTATAATGTTGTACAATCCGTTATAATCGAATTATAATATTATGAAGTACATTATAATTGTAATATAATATAACGAAATATATTATAAACGAATTATAATGTTATAGAACATATTATAATCGTATTATAACGAAGTACAATCCATTATAATCGAATCATAATGTAATACCATACATTATATTTGGATTATAATGTTACAGAATTCATTATAATTGATTTCAAATGTTATGGAATACATTATAATAGAATTATAATATTATGGAATCTATTATAATTGAATTATAATGTTATGAAATTCATTATAATCGAATTATAATATTATAGGATATATTATAATTAAATTATAATACAATGGAATACATAAAAATTGCATTATAATGAAATTATGAAACATATAATATTATTATATATACATATATGTATATATAATAATATTATATATGTTATAAATTTATTATAATCCAATTATAATGTTATAGAGTACTTTATAATCGCATTATAATGTTATACAATATATAACAGTCGAATTATAATGTTATGGAGTACATTATAATCAAATTATAATGTTATATAATACATTATAATCTAATTATAATGTTATTGATGCATTATATCTTCATTGTAATGCTATAGAATAGGTTATAACCGAATTATTATATTATAGAAAACATTATAATAGAATTATAATGCTATTGAATGCATTATAATCGAATATATCGAGTTAAAATGTTATACAATACTTTATAATCGAATTATAATATTATGAAATACATTATAATTGTATTATAATATCATTAAATATATTATAAACGAATTATAATGTTATAAACTACATTATAATCGTATTATAACGAAGTACAATCCATTACAATCGAATTATAATGTTACACAATACATTATAATGTTATAGAATACATTATAATTAAATATATCGAGTTAAAATGTTATACAATACTTTATAATCGAATTATAATATTATGAAATACATTATAATTGTATTATAATATCATTAAATATATTATAAACGAATTATAATGTTATAAACTACATTATAATCGTATTATAACGAAGTACAATCCATTACAATCGAATTATAATGTTACACAATACATTATAATGTTATAGAATACATTATAATTAAATTATAATGTAATACAGTACATTATGTTTGGATTATAATGTTACAGAAATCATTATAATTGATTTCAAATGTTATGGAATACATTATAATTGAATTATAACGTTATGAAATTCATTATAATCAAATTATAATATTATAGAATACATTATAATTGGATTATTATTATGTTATGGAATACATTGTAATTGAATTAAAATTCATAACAATTGTATTATAATATTATAAAACACATAATCAAATTATAATGTTAAGAAATATATTATAATCAATTAATATTATTATAGAGTACATTATAATCGAAATATAATGTTATTGATGCATTATATTTGGATTATAATGCTATAGAGTAGATTATAATCACATTATAATGCCATATAATTGATTATAATGGTATTATAATGTGGTAGAAAAAATTATAATCCTATTACTTTCTCACCCTTCAGACAATTTTCTTCATAAAACATCGTCTCAAAACCGGTTTTGAAGTTTCTGCCTATATCGATTATGAGAATAGTTTACGTCGAGCCAATCTACATATCGAGGGTCATACCAACTGGTCGGCCATTTTCAAAGATCAAGCCGCTATTATACCTAAACCAACACACCTAAGCTACTTTGACTGGCACAAGGGTATTGTCAACTATAATGATTCGGAAAATTATGCTGTAGTTCATGATGTAGAATATGGTCTAATGTTTATGCATAAGGGAGATCATAAGAAAATTTGTGTTGATACTACGAGAGAATTGTATAGTAAGAATTGTACCAGAACTATGGCATTCTCAGAGAATTACGGACATGTTATATTTTATGATCACGTTATAAGAAAGAAAATATAATTGAAAAAAAAAAATATATTGTATAGAATATTGGGAAAATGAGAAATTAAGGAAATAAACATGAGTCTTCTTTTGATCTGGCAGATTTGTTGATAAACAAATGAAAAATATTTGGCTTTAATCCAAATAAGAAACAAAATGTTTAGAATATGATGATCACAACAAAAGGGTATAAAATTGTATAAAAATTTCTTAGAGTGGAGGTCATTTACGATTTTTGTTTATTTTTCTTGTTTTTTTTTCGCAAAATGCCGTGTCTTTTGTTTCGATTTTTTCAAAGTGCATTTTGTCAATTAATTTTAATCAAAAACCAAATAAAATGCACAAAATAAAAACATAATTATTTGCAGTTAAAAATAAGAAAAATTCATTTAAATTTAGGCCTTAGCTGCCATCAGACGTAAAATAAAGAAGACATCGTAATATTTGTGGTTCATATTTTTTTGGTTTTAATTTGAGAAAATAAAAGAAATTTTTCTATTACATCATCAAGAAAATTAGAAAATTTTTCTTAAAAAATATTAAATTTGCAATAAAAATTTAGAAATTTTTATAAAAAAAAGCTTAAAAAGACCAAATGTTTTTATTAAAGTTAATTTTAGCAGCTTTAGTGCTGAAATGGGGCACATGTCAGCCAGTTTTCAAAGTTGGTAAGTATTTCTTTAAAAATTTTGAATTATAGAACTTTTGAAAATTTTTTCTTTAAGGTGCTATTTTTGATGAACCTAACTCGGAATTGGAAATGGCATTTAATGCCTCTATCGAAAGGGCCAATGTAAATGAGCGCAGTTTTGATTTACAGGCTATTATAACATATGCTAGTAGTGATGATAGTTTTCTTATGGAAAAGACAGGTTTTAAAAATTGAAAAGATTTTAAAAATAATTTTCAAAATTTTATAAATTTTTTCCCATAGTATGTTATTTAGCTTCCGAAAAGATTATTGCCATATTTGGACCAGCTAATGGTGAAAGTTCCGGTAGGTTTATCTAAATAAACAGCTTTATAGTTTCTTTCAACTCCTCTTAACTTTAGATATTATTGCCTCCATATCCAATACCTTTGATATACCTCACATCACTTTTGATTGGTCTCCCAGTGAAGATCTAAGCGAAAAACCCTTTAGGGGTATGTCTTTAAATTTACATCCAGATAATCTGCTACTGGCTCGTGGTATATCAGAAATAGTACAAAGTTTTGGTTGGCGTTCCTATACGTTGGTATATGAAACGGAAAAGGGTGATGAACTTACCTTAAAAAAATTTTTAAATTTTAATTTTTCATATTTTTAGAACTGCTACAGCTGCAAGATATTCTACAAACAGGTGATCCTACCAGTAATCCCACTACGGTCATGCAATTACCCAGTGATACTGATGATTATCGACCTTTTATAAAAGCTATTAAAACATCGACCGATAATTGTTTAATTTTACATTGTGCTGTCGAAAAAATACCGATTATACTAAAGCAGGCTGATGATTTGAAAATGTTGGGAGAATATCAGGTTTGAAAAGAAATTTCCATTATTTAGAACATAAAACAGCACAAAAGATCAAAAACAGGGTCGCAGTGCTTTGGGACTTTCTCTTATCTAGAACATAAAACGAGTTATTATTATACGTTATTATTGCTCTATGATGCTAATATACTCCGCCTATAATGCTACAGAATACATTATAATCGAATTATAATGTTATAAACTACATTATAATCACATTATAATGTTATAAAATAAATTATAATAAGATAATAATGTTACAGAGTACATTATAGTCCGATTATAATGCTACAGAATACATTATAATCGAATTATAATGTTATAAAATACATTATAATCGAATTATAATGTTATACAATACATTATAATCGAATTATAATGTTAAATAATACATTATAATCAGATTATAATTCTGCAGAAAACATTATAATCATATTATAATGTCATATAGTACATTATAATCGAATTATAATGTTATACAATACATTATAATCCTTTTATAATGACGCTAAATACATTACAATACGATTATAATGCTGCAGAATATATTATAATCGGATTGTAATGCCGACAAATACATTATAATACGATTATAATGCTATAAATTACATTATAATTGGATTATTTTATAATAATAATACATTATAATCAAATTATGTTATAAACTACATAATAATCACATTATAATGTTATAAAATAAATTATAATCACATTATAATGTTACATACATTATAATAAGGTAATAATGCTACAGAGTACATTATAGTCCGATTATAATGCTACAGAGTACATTATAATTGAATTATAATGTCATATAATACATTTTAATCGAATTATAATGTTATAGAATACATTATAGTCGAATTATAATGTTATACAATATATTATAATCGAATTATAATGTTAAATAATACATTATAATCAGATTATAGTTCTGCAGAAAACATGATAACAATATTATAATGTCACATAACACATTATAATCAAATTATAATGTAACACAATACATTATAATCCAATTATATTGCGGTAAAATATATTATAATGCTATTATAATGCCGCTAAATACATTATAGTACGATTATAATGCTACAGAATATATTATAATCGAATTATAATACCGCTGAATACATTATAATACGATTATAATGCTATAAACTACATTATAATTAGCTTATAATTTTATAGAATACATTATAATCGAATTATAATGTGAAATATCCATTATAATGGTATTATAATATTATTCAATTATTACAACGAGGTAATAATCATAAATACCAAAATATTTTAAGAGTATATTCATACCCAATTTGGATACACATACATTGGACTTAAACGCATTCTATGAAGTTGGTGCTAATATCACAACTATACGTTTAATGGATCCAACAGACTTTGAGATTAAAAATCTGGTAAGAGATTGGAGAGATCGTAAGAAAAAAGAAGGAGTTCATTACGCCTTAGAACCCAATCAAGTGAGAGTAAGTAGTTTAATTAGTTTTTATTTAAAAAAAAATCATAAATAATATGTATTTCAGACTGACATGGTCTTGATAAGCGATGCCGTATCATTATTTGTCAAAGGTTTGGCGGAGTTGGAAATAGTCGATGAGCTAAAACCGATGAAATTGGATTGTCGCAGAAATAAAGCCTGGAATCAGGGTAGAACGATTATAGAATTTATAAAAGCGGTGAGATCCAACTAACTATAGAAAAACGTATCTAAATTATGGCTTTTTTTCCAGCGCATTGGTGCTGAAACCTCTTCGGGTCGTGTGGATTTCAATCAATATGGCCAGAGAAGCTTTTTTACTTTACGTTGCATGGAAATAACAAGTACCGGACTTTTAGATTTGGCCACTTGGGATCCCGTAAATGGTTTTGATCTGTTGGGAGACGATGATGCCAGCGATAAAAGGGCCGCCATAAAAATACAAAATAAAACTTTTATTATTACCTCACGTTTAGGAGCACCCTTTCTAATGAAACGGTTTGGATATAGAATTTAAATAATTTAATTAAATTTTTAAATAGCGGTTTTCTTTCGACCCTTAAGCGAAGCCAAAGAGGGTGAAATTCTGGAGGGCAATGCCCGTTATGAGGGCTATTCATTGGATCTTATAGATGCTATTGCCAAACTTTTAAATTTTAAATATGTTTTTGAATTGGCTCCCGATGGTAAATATGGCGCTTTTAATAAGGTCACCAAAACCTGGGATGGTTTAGTCAAACAATTGCTAGATGGGGTAAGTCAAAATTGTCAAATTCTTCTAAGATATAACTTATCTTTTTATATATATTTAAAAAAAAAGAACGCTGATTTAGGCATTTGCGATTTAACCATGACTTCGGCGCGACGCCAAGCAGTAGATTTCACCCCACCCTTTATGACTTTGGGCATAAGTATTCTCTATATGAAACCCGAAGTTAAACCGCCCAATTTGTTTTCTTTCCTCTTGCCCTTCTCCAAAGATGTTTGGGTTTATATGGCTACTGGTTATTTGGGTGTATCACTGTTACTTTTTATTTTATCACGTATGGCTCCAGAAGACTGGGAAAATCCCCACCCTTGCAAAGAACCTGAAGAATATGAAAATATTTGGACTATAACGAATACAACCTGGTTGACTATGGGCTCGATTATGGGTCAAGGATGTGATATATTACCAAAGTGAGTGAATGAAGAGATAAAAAGAGAATGAATTAAACATTTCTAATTTTTTACAGAGCCTCTTCGACCCGTTTAGTTACCGGTATTTGGTGGTTCTTCGCCTTGATGATGTTAAATTCTTATACTGCCAATTTGGCGGCTTTCTTGACTATGTCACGTATGGGTTCCTCTATCAAGAGTGCTGAAGATTTGGCAGCGCAAAATAAAATCAAATATGGAGCCGTTTATGGCGGTAGTACTATGTCGTTTTTTAAGGTGAGGATTAGATATAGACTTTTTCTAGTCTATAGTCTGGACTATATCCCACTGTCTACATTATAGTCTATGGTCAATAGTCTATAGTGTAGTCTATAGTCAGCACTATAGTTTAGTCTATAGTCAGGACTATTCTTTAGTCTACAGTCTGGACTGTTGTTTAGTCTACAGACTGGACTGTAGATTAGTCTATACTCTGGACTATAGTTTAGTCTACAGTCTGGACTGTAGATTAGTCTATAGTCTGGACTATAGTCTAGTCAATAGTCTGTAATATAATCAAGTCTATAGTCTGGACTATAGTCTAGTCTATAGTCTAGTTTATAGTCTAGACTATAGTCTAGTTTATAGTCTAGACTATAATCTAGTAGGTATATAGTTTAGACTGTCTATAGTTTAGTCTATTGTATGGAGTATAGGTTAGTCTATAGTCTGGACCATAGTCTAGTCTATATTCTAGTCTGTAGTCTGGACTATAATCTAGTTTACAGTCTGGACTATTGTCTAGTCTATAGTTGGGACTACAGTTTAGTCTATAATCTGGACTACAGTCTAGTTTATATTCTGTTCTATAGTCTGGACTATATCTTAATCTATAGTTAGACTATCATCTAGTCTATAGTCTGGGCTATAATCTAGGCTATAGTCTAGTCTATAGTCTGGACTATAGTCTAGTATATAGACTGGACTATAGTCTAAAGTCTACACTATAGTCTAGTCTATAGTCTGAACTATAGTTTAGTCTATAGCCTGAACTATAGTTGAACATATAGTCTGGACTATAGTCTAGTCTATAGTCTGGTCTGTAGTAGAGTCTAAAGTTTGGACTATAGTCTACTCTATTGTCTGGACTATAGTCCACAAACAATTTAGAAGTTATTAATTTCTTTTGCCGTGCCAGGACTCAAACTTCACCACATATCAGCGCATGTGGGCAGCTATGGAATCAGATCCCTCGGTATTTACTAAAAGTAATGATGAGGGCAAAGAACGAGTCTTAAAAGGTAAACGTTTATATGCCTATCTAATGGAATCCACTTCACTAGAATATATGGTCGAAAGAGATTGTGATCTGGTGCAGATAGGAGGATGGTTGGATTATAAAACCTATGGCATAGCCATGCCCTTTAGTGAGTATTCACACAATTTTGAAGGAGTATTATAATCACAACTATATTTGTTTAATAGATTCCCCTTATCGCAAACAAATAAGTGGTGCTGTTTTAAAATTGGGCGAGGCCGGAACTTTAGCAGAATTGAAAAGAAAATGGTGGAAGGAAATGCATGGTGGAGGCAAATGTGAAAGTACCGCAGCCGCTTCTAGTGATACTCCCGAATTAGATTTGGAAAGTGTAGGTGGTGTGTTCTTAGTTTTAGGTCTGGGTCTTTTATGTGCCATACTCATCGGATTGGTGGAGTTTTTGTGGAATGTTAAAACGGTGGCTGTAGATGAAAAGGTTAAGAAAATTTTCTCTTTTAATTTTTTATTAAATTTTGTAATAAATTTTCTAGTTAACCCTAATGGAGGCCCTCAAAGTGGAAACGTTATTTGCCTTAAAATTCTGGGTAGCTACTAAACCGGTGCACGCCAGTTCTGCAGACTCTAGTTCCAGCTCTTCTTCATCATCCTCCTCTTCATCACGCTCCAAATCCTCCAAATCAGGAGGACTTTCAATATCCCATAGCATGAAATCCATTAAAAGTTCTATACCCGAAACTGTACGTTCTTCGGTACATGAGAAACTTAGAAAAATTGGTTCTATATTTTCGTTGAAATCTATGAAATTGGAAAAATCAGAAGATGAAATAGAAGCTCCTCCTGAAATGGCTATTAAATCCAAACCTGTAGTGACCACAGAAGATAAAGCCATACAAATTGAATTGAAACGTGAATCGCTTGAAGATCAAGAACCTTCGCAGCAACGTCATCATCATCATCATCACCACCATCATCATCATGAGCCTACTCATCAGCAGCAGCAGCTACAATCTCAACCGGATACTAAAGAAAAGGAACCGGTAGAGGAACCCGAGCCAGCTATAGAGGATCACCATCATCAACATCCATCACCGTCATGAACACAAAAGTCGCAAGCGTGATAGTAAAATAAGTTCAAAAAGTCATTTAAATGTTTAAAGGTCTTAAAGGAATCTGTAAATTTCCCGGGAGAAAAAAAACTTGTTTTTAAAAGTTTGGTTTCAGTTGTAAAAAGTTTTTTTCATTTCGCAGACTCCCTGAAAGAAATAAAAAATTGTCTTTAAAATTTTTTTGCCCAGACATAAATTTGTTTAGAAAATTTTGTCTTAAACATAAATTTTGTTAGAAATTTTTGTTTGACATAAATTTATTTAGAAAATGTTGTTTAACATAAAGTTTTTTTAGAAAATTTTTATATCGACATACAGTTTCTTTAGAAAATGTAGAAAAATTTTTGTTTTGACACAAAATCCTTTAGAAAATTTTTATCTTGACACAAAATCCTTAGAAAAATTTTTGTCTTGACATAAATTTCTTTTCTAGACAATTTGAGTCTTGACATAAATTTCTTTAGAAAACGTTTGTCTTGACATAAATTTCTTTAGAATATTTTGTCTTGACACAAAATCTTTTACAAATTTTTTGTCTGGAAACAAATTCTTTAGAAAATTTGTTTAGACAATTCTTTGGTCTTGACACAAAATCCTTTAGAAAAATTCTTAGGAAATTTCTGTCTCGACATAAAGTTTCTTTAGAAAAATTTTTGTCTTGACATAAAGTTTCTTTGGGAATGTTTGTCTTGACATAAAGTTCCTTTGGAAAATTTTGTCTTTACATAAATTTCTTCAGATAACTTTTGTCTTGACATAATTTCTTTAGAAAATTTGACACTAAATCCTTTAGAAAATTTTTGTCTTGACACAAAATCCTTAGAAAATTTCTGTCTTGACATAAATTTCTCTAGACAATTTGAGTCTTGATATAAATTTCTTTAGAAAACGTTTGTCTTGACATAATTTCTTTAGAAACCGTTTGTCTTGACACAAAATATTTTACAAACTTTTTGTCTTGACACAAATTTCTTTAGAAAATTCTTTTAGACAATTATTTTATCTTGTCTTTAGAAAACGTTTGTCTTGATATAAATTTCATTAGAAAATTTTTGTCTTGACTTAAATTTCTTTAGCAAATTTTGTCTTGACATAAATTCTATTAGAAAATGTTTATCTTGAGAAAAGTTTCTTTAGAAAATGTTTATCTTGACATAAAGTTTCTTTAGAAAATTTTTGTCTTGTCAAAAGTTTCTTTAGAAAATTTCTGTCTTGACATAAATTTCTTTAGTATATTTGGTCTTGACACAAAATCCTTTAAAAAATGTTTGTCTTGACACAATTTTCTAAAATTTCTAAAGAAATTTGTGTCTTGACATAATTTTTTTAGAAAATTTTTATCTTTACATAATTTTTTTTAGAAAAATTTTGCCTTGACATAAATTTTTTTAGAAAACTTTTGTCTTAACATAAATTTGTTTGGAAAATATTTGTCTTATTATAAAGTGTTTGTATTGCTTTATATTTCTCTAGAAAATGTTTTGTCTTGACATAAATTTCTTGAGAAAATTTTTGTCATGACATATTTTTTTTTTTTTTTTGAAAATTATTTTTCTTTCTCTTTTTAAAATAATTAATACTTTTACATATTTTTCTTTTTTGCTTCTCCGTCCTTCATCTTTTTTCTCTGTTTATTTTCCATATTTTCCAGATTTTAATTAATAATTTCACAAGTTTTAATTTGTTTTGTATTTGCACTAAATACTAAGTGTAAACATTTACATATTTAATTAAATATACATATTACATTTATAAGGTACATATGAAGAGTTTTATTTGTTTAAATTGAAACATTATTTTGTTGGTTTCTTTAAGAGACAAATTTAGCAAAAATAATTACAGATTGTCTGGTGTTTGTAGAAGAATCTTAAGAAGGACTTTTGTAAAAGAAAACTTAATAGCATTAGTGGCTAAAGTATCTATTACATTTAGAGATTTCTTTTTTAATGTTTTTTTTTTTAATTTTAATAATTAATACTACTTGCTTCAAAATTAAATAGAGTATTTTGTTAAATTTATACATTATTTATAGTTATTGATAATTTTCAACTAATTTGAACTTTTTCTTTTAAAGTATTTTTTTTTTATTAATTCTTGGATAAATATTGCAAACTTAAAAAAAAAACAAAGCTAAAAATATAATAATAAAATTGTTATAATTAAATGCTAATTTTTATATGAGTTAATAAAATAAATTAAACTAATTTAAATAGTTTAAAAAAAAATACCTCATGCAAATCAAAAATATATTTTTTTCAATTTTATGCAAAATTCTTTTGGTTTGTTAAAACTCATAACATATTTTTTTTAATTATTAATGGTAAGTTAATACCTATAAGTTTTTTTACTAAAAATTTTTACAAGATTTTTTTTTTTTTTTTTTTGAGTAGATTTTTGTTTTTTTAAATTTTTTAAATTCTTTTTTATGGATTTTTTATTTATAAAAAATCCTTTTTGTTTATGTCATGTTAGAATCCTTAAAACGCTGAGCCTTGGCGGGATTTTTGTGTCAATCTTTGGCTGCTATAGCTACAGGAGGAAATTGTCGTTCATCGTACAGTTTAGTGGGTGTGTCAATGGCATCACAGAGTTTTCGAAATTTGGCAGAATCTGCTGAAATAAAAACAAACATAAATTTAACAAGATACCAACAAATAAATTAAAAGATATTGTTTGTAACAAAACACCTTCATAATGTCAAGATAAAATTATTCCAGACAAAAATTTTCAAAATAAATTTATGTCAAGACAAAAATTTTCTAAATAAATTTATGTTAAGACAAAAATTTTCTAAAGAAATTTATGTCAAGATAAAAATTTTCCAAAGAAATAAATGTCAAGATAAAATTATATCAAGAACTTTATGACCAGAGAAGAAATTTCTAACGAAATTTATATGAAAATAAAAATTTTCTAAAGAAATTTATATTTTGACAAACTTTTTCTTAAGAAGTTTATGCCAAGACAAATTTTCTAAAGAAATTTATGTCAAGACAAAAATTTTCTAAAGAAATTTATGTGAAAACAAAAAGATTTTTATATTTTAACAAACTATTTTAAAGAAATTTATGCCAAAACAAAAATTTTCCAAAGAAATTGATGTCAAGACAAAAATTTTCTAAAGAAACTTTGTCAAAACAAAAATTTTCCAAAGAAGTTTATGTCAAGATAAAAAAATTTCTAAAAAAGTTTATGTCAAGATAAAATTATTTCAGTAACAATAATTTTATATAGAAAATTATGTCAAGACAATAATTTTCTAAAGAAATTTATGTCGAGACAAAATTAACTCAAGAACTTTATGTCCAGACCAAAAAAAAAATGTTTAAAAAAAATTATGTTAAAACAAAAATTTTCTGAAGAAAATTTTCTAAAGAAATTTATATTAAGACAAAATTTTCTAAAGATATGTTTGTGAAGACCAAAAATTTGTTAAAAAATGTATGTCAAGATAAAAGTTTTCTAAAGAAATTTATGTCAAGATAAAAATTTTATGTACAGACAAAATTTTTCTAAAGAAATTATGTTAAAACAAAAATTTTCTGAAGAAACTTATATTTATATCAAGAAAAAAAATATTTAGAAAATAATATCAAGATAAAATGTTTCTAAAGAAATTATGTTAAAACAAAAATTTTCTGAAGAAACTTATATTTATATCAAGAAAAAAAAAATATTTAGAAAATAATATCAAGATGAGATAAGAAGAAAACTTAATGTCCAGACAAAAATTTTCTATAGAAATTTATGTTAAAATAAAAAATTTATGAAGAAATTTATATTTAGACAAAAATTTTTAAAGAAATTTATTTTAAGACAAAATTATCTCAAGAACTTTATGTCCAGACAAAATTTTTCTATAGAAATTTATGTTAAAATAAAAATTTTATGTTAAAAAGAAATTTATATTAAGAAAAATTTTTCTAAAGAAATTTATATCAAGACAAAAAATTTTCAAAGAAATTTATGTCAAGATAAAAATTTACGAAATTTTATGTCAAGAAAAAAAAAGCTTAAAAAAAATTATATCAAAAAAAGATTTTCTAAAGAAATGTATGTCTAGACAAAATTTACGAAATTAATTTATTGATGTCAAGACATAATATTTCTACAGAAATTTATGTCAAGACAAAAAATTTCTACAGAAATTTATGTCTAGCCAAATTTTCTAAAAAATTATGCCAGACCAAAATTTTCTAAAGAAATTTATGTCTAGACAAAATTTACCAAAGTAATTTATGTCAAGACAAAATTTTTTAAAGAAATTTTTATCAAGACAAAAATTTTCAAATGCAATTTATGTCAAAACAAACGATTTTCAAAAGAAATTTAAGTTCAGACAAAATTTTCTAGAGAAATTTATATCAAGACAAAAATTTCATAAAGGAACTTATGTCAACATAAAATTTTTCGAAAGAAATTTATGTTCAAACCAAAAATGTTTAAAGAAATTTATATTCTAAAGATATTTTATCAAGGTAAATATTTTCTTAAAAAAATTGTTTGACTAAACCAAATTTTTTTTATAAAATTTATGTCTTAACAGGATATTTGAACTTATTTCTTAAAATTTTCTTAAATATAAATGATTAATATTAAAATAATCTACCAAAATTTCTTTTTAAAACTTCAATAACAAAACAAAATTTTGAATTTGAGAAAAAAAAATGCTTAAATTCTATGCCAATTAAACATATTGAATTTTAATTAACGGTTAGTTTACCTACCATTTCAATTCAAAATTATGTATATGTTTTTGTTATTCCCTCCATAAGTGTTAAAATAAGTGAAAAAATTAGGTCTTAATACCTGTCAGAGTAGTGTTCACCGTTTGTTCAGAGCCTTTTAAAATGCTAGCATATGAATTATCCGTTGAAGGATCAGGATTTTCGATTATAACACTAACACTGCTCATAGAGCTAGATTTACTGTGGGGCGAAGGTGACGAATCCTTGGAATGTTGAGAGTCTGTAGAAATAGTAGGTGTCTTATCAGCTGAGAAACCGGAGGAGGGATTGGTAGTGGGTGTAGAGGGTAAAAGGCCTGAAAGAGAGATTTTGTCCATGCTGTCGGATAGGTTGAGTTCTGCAAAGAAAATGTTTGTTAAGCAATTCATTGATAAAGTTTTAGGGTTTAAAACAGTACCTATAACACCTTCTAGGGTGTAACGCAAATCATGAACATGCAATAGTTTACAAGGTCCACCTTTTTCACTATTAAAATCATACACATAAAGAAAACCATCTTCACAGGCCATTAATAAACGTAACTCCTTTTGTATGCGTGCCAAACCACAAACATGTTTAAGACCCGGCTGACCTAATACAGCGGTGGCAAAAGCTCTATCTTGGGCCAATACATCACCTATTTGTGAAGGTATCAGATAAGAGGAGACCGCTTTTGATAGATAACCACTCATGGACCAGGAATTATTAGAAGTTGTAGAGGCGGGCGGTTGATTATTGGAAGGATTTGCTGTAGCAGGGGGATCAGCTGAAGTTGTACTATTAGCCGTACCATTTGCAGCTTTTTGTTGGATAGAAGCCTCCTCTTTAGGTTGAGATGTTGAAGGTGCTAAAGCTGCAGGGGGTTTTTTAGCTTCATCGTCCACTGGGAAATAAACATTTTATGGATTATAACTTAAATACTAATAACTCACTGCCTACCTATACTTGACTTTCTTTCCGCAGCCTCCACAGCTTTAACATCAATCTTAAATATATGAACAGTCTCGGTATTTGAAGATGCACACAGGAAATCTCCGGTGGTAGAAAATACCAATGAAGCTATTCTCACGCAACGTTTAACGCCTCTTCGAAACTCCTGCACCCTTTGACCATTCTTAACACAAAATACCCGTATCACAGTACCACGCTCCGAGGCTGTGGCCAACATAGTGCCATTCGGTGAAAAATTCAAGGCAGACAAGGCCGTATCATGAGCCTTAATCGTCAGACCCGTCTTCAACTTATTGGCATTGAAAATCCTCAATTCGCCACTGGTCGTACAAATGGGAAATGCTAAATGTGAATTCAATGACAGCGAACACAAACCATATTCATTTGGTGCTATATTCTCAATGGAATGTAAGATTTTCATATCGCGTATATCATGTATATGTATACTCTCCGCCAGACACACAACCAAACGATAACGATTCATGCGAACACACAATATATCCGAAGGATAAACACAATTACAAATATCCTGTTTCTTTTTGAAATGCAGCATCTTTAGGCAGTTGGGTTTCTGTTGAGTGACCAGCACTACCAGCGAACTATTGAATAGCCTCTCGACAATGCGTATTTGTTCGGAATTCTCTTTGGCGAATATCTCATCGATTTTATCGCCCGCATTAATGG